TGGAGCGGCAGCAGGAGCTGCTGGCCAGCTGCACGCGCCTCTACCAGCAGCTCACCGAGCACTTCGGCTCCCTCGAGCGCGGCATCAAGTCCCGCTCCGACTCGCTCCGCGCCCGGCGCCGCGTCGTCGAGCTCCGAGCCTCCCGCCGCCTCGACGCGCTCCGCCGCCGCGAGCTCTCCATCGACGCCTCCGTCAAGCTCGCGCTCTCCCGCCTCGACGCCCTCGCCAAATCCCCCGCGCCGAAGCGGGACCGGGAGGACGGAGACGCGCCACCGTCCCCGCCGCAGCCGTCGTCGGACGACGTCGCCGAGGGCCTCGCCGCGCTCTGCGCCGCCATGGACCCCGCGGGCTTCCTCGCCTTCGTCGTCGAGCGCCGCAAGGAGGTGGACGCGCTCCGCGCCGAGCTGCCCGCCGCGCTCCAGCGCTGCGTCGACCCGGCCAGGTTCGCCATGGACGCCGTCTCCGAGGTCTTCCCCGTGGACCGCCGCGCCGTCCGCTCCCCCACCGACCTGGCCTGGGCCTGCGTGCTCATACTGGAGGCCGTCGTGCCCGCGCTGGCCGACCCGGACCCGGAGATCGGGGCGGCGCGGCCCATGGTGCCGCAGGCGGCCCGCGACAGGGCCCGCGGCATGGCCGACGAGTGGAAGGAGGCCGCCGAGCGCAAGGGCGGGGTGGAGGGCGCCAAGCCGCCCGACGCCCACGCCTTCCTGCAGCACGTCGCCACCTTCGCCGTGGCGGAGAAGGAGGACAAGGAGCTGTACAAGAGGATTGTCCTCAGCTTCTCCTGGCGCAGGCAGATGCCACGCCTCGCTCTCACGCTTGGCCTCGAGGATGACATGGAAGGTAGTACTTCATTTCAGCTCGTTTCTCTCCACATTTCAGCTCTTTTATCTCCAGATAACTCCCTAAAATTAACTAGTTGTTGGTAGACGCAGCTCATAAAATTGGCTAGATCTAGCGTTTAAATGCTACTACAAAGGTACGGTTTGCTCAGGGGAGTGTGGATTAGGACATTAGGTTAGTAGATAAGATTTATATTCTTTTAGCAAGTCTTATCGAACTGGTAATTGATAAGCCACAAGCGGGTTGCTGTGGTGTAGCGATGTTTGGGTTATTGCTGGGAATGCAGTACGCGTGTGCATAGTTGCCATATGTGTGTCCTTACCTGGATGAATTGTCACTGTCATAGTAAGTGCTGGGAAACGTTAACAGTCTTTCAAGATCAGTATGGCCGGCACCATGGACCACTCTGCCTATTGCAGTCGGGTGTGGCGCCTTAGTGATTGCCATGGGGATGGGCCACCAAGTACCTTCCTCTGTATTTTGTCTGGATTCTTATCCTTATACTTCTATGCTATTATTATTATTTCACCAAACGAGCTTTATAACCATTAGTAGCAGAGTGTCATGTGGATTCCCTGGTTTTGCCATGCATGAGGTTTCAATTGATAAGCCACAAGGGGGTTGCTGTGGTGTAGCTATGTTTGGGTTATTGTTGGGAATGCAGTCTGCCTGTGCATAGTTGCGATATGTGTGTCCTATACCTGGATGAATTGTCACTGTCGTAGACAAGCGCTGGGAAATGGTAGTCTTCCAAGGGCAGTATGGCCAGCACAATGGACCACTTTGGCTATTTTTCTAAAAAACATATCAAGAGTGATGCGACATGGAATACTTCTCTTGTGTAATCTTAGTTATCCAGTAAATGCATTTTTACAGTATGAGACTTGCCTTGTTGGGCTGGTGTGACCATTTCAGTTGGCCTGATCACGAATGTATGCTGCTGGCGCTTTGTACAGTAGTAATCACTTTATAGATCATTCTTTTCAAGTGAGTTTGTTAAGAATTAAGCTGTCTTATCTGACCTTTATCGTGTTTGCAGAAATCATTGAAGAGCTTATCACAAAGGGGCAACAACTTGATGCCGTGAACTTTGCATATGAGGCTGGTCTTCTGGAAAAATTCTCCCCAGTCCCTCTTTTGAAATCCTACCTGGAGGATTCTAAGAAGATATATTGCATTTCAGATAACGTGAGCACTAGCAGTGGCCAATCTGGGGTAAGACTAGTAGTAATATTGAATTTGGTGTCGCATGCCTGAAACTCTACAAGTAGTTTGTCGACAGGGCTTTCTGAAAGATACAAATGTTTGCTTGTTGTAGCTATACCAGTTTACCTCTATTTGCTAGCTACTCCCTTTGTTAAGAAATATGAGAGCGTTTAGATCACTACTTTACAGAGGGAGTAGCTAGCACTGTATTTCAATTCTCCGTTGTGGCTTTGGCGAGGATTTTCTGCCTGCTCTGTTTCCCCTACCAAATTAGGGTCTAATATTGCGTCTCTTGTAGGTCAATGCAAATAAGAAGGAGCAGTCTGTGCTTCGGGCTGTTATAAAGTGTGTTGAGGACCACAAACTCGAAGCCGAGTTTCCATTGGAGGATCTGCGGAAACGGCTGGAAGAATTGGAGATGGCCAAGACCGAGAAGAAAAAGGCAGCCTCAAGCTGTTCCAGTGGCGGCCCAGCAAGCAAGCGCATCAAAGGGAGCGCTGGGGGAGCAATGTCCCCTTCCAAGGCTGGTCGTCCAAGCGACAACACCGGTGCACCATCTTCGCCCGCCACCGCCACCAGCAGCAGCAGCACCACCGCATTCATCGGCTCTCCAGCCTCCCATGTCTCCTACGGTACCGGATCTCCCTACTCTTATGATAGGTCAGCTGGGCACGCCCTCTACTGTGGCCAGAGCCCACTTCCAATGAGGGAGCCATATGCATACCCACCTGCTGTGCCGGTGCCCAATGTTGGCCTTGGAATGCCATACCAAGCCCCTCCCATGACCTACCCCATCTACGCCGGATACAACAGCGGCCTGGGAGCCTATGGCAATGCCATGCCCCCAGCCCCAGCCTTTCACCAGGCTTACTACCGGTAGAATCAGTCAGTCGGAAATGACCAAATGACAAGAGCCGATGACGGCGGGGCTTCGTCAATGGTGCCCTGTTTTGTAGCGACTGACTACAACGGTAGGTTGCGTACGTCCTTAATACATCATCACTACTAGATGCTTATGTCACTTCGTTCTGTTCGGTTATTAGCACTCATGTTTACTTCCGCACTGAAAACTGAAAAACTGAATGTAGAGTATGGACGCCGTGTATGTGGACCTCGTGTTGTAATTCAGTTTAAAGCACTAGGCGAAAAACCCAAAAAATTTATTATGCATGTAATCCTCAAGCATTGACTATTAATATCTTCTGTTAGCTATAGTTGCGATGGTCATTATTTCTCTCTGATTATTGCATCTGTGTGCTTGTTATGCTGTTTTTTTTTGTACCTTCTACCTACTAGTTATGCCTTTTTTTTAAGCTTAACTTAGCTTGCTATTTAGTAAAAGTTATCAGAAACCTCCGATGCAATAATGTGCAGAATACAATCTGGTGGCCTATCATTCAACACCTTATAGAGTTTGACATGAAGCAGCGCTATTCGCTGTTTGACGAGCCGAGCTTACATTATACGCTGTGCCAGGAGCCCAGGAGCACCTTCTTGAGGTCCTTGATCAGTGGCCCAATAGCTGATAGGTTGTTTCTCCCTACTTGCTTCGCAGATATCGACCACCACCTTACGGTAAGCTTGACATGACGTTGTTGCACATTGTTTCCTTGTGCATGTTGCAACGCTCGCTGGCACACCAGAATTTCGACGGACTCCAGATTCGACGCCTCTGGACGCGCCTGTGTGGTCTCTGAGCACAACACCACCCACCCCCTCCTTCGTCACCAAGCTTCAAGACGGCCCCATCAACGTTTATCTTAAGCCAACCATGCTCCGACGGTTTCCAACCGTATGCTGCATTGTCTCCCGCACTCTAATAGACTTGCTTCTTGAGCCTGCCTCCGCTCACTCATACTACAAGTCATCACCGAGTCTGCTATCACTTGTGGTGGCTTCGAGTGTCCACGAGCATGACGCTTTACCGCGCCACCCCCTCTCACTGTCGCTCGTCCTTGAACTACCATCAACACGAGGGTCACATATTCCATCTGCATGCACTAACCTTCCACAATCAAAGCAAAGGTGGGGCATCTTTCCATATCAAAAATTACACCAACTCCCTCTTCTTATCTTCCCAGTAAAGCTTTGAGGTAGAACCCCTGCACAAGTGGATACAAAACTGACAGCTTTGCACGCACACACGAAGATGTTTGCTTCTGAAAAAACCATGTGAATTAGACAAACTGAAAACGATATCTCTGCTTTGCTAAAATCCTCAGATCTTTTATCTAGCCAGTGGCAGACCCGTCACACGAACCCACACTTCCACCGTGTTAAAAACCATCTCCGACGGCCTGATATCATCACCCTCATAGTCCTCGAGAACTGTCACATGGAAGTCAAACAGCCACGGTCCATTGTAAGCGCATGTTTCCATTCTCCCCCACTTCCCAAGTGGACAACAAAGATGCATGTTGTCTCCCATGTCTCTGAATTGTGCTTCGCGGTGCAGACCCCAAGCCCTCATCATTCTTCTTTCTAGCGCATGTATGTAAGACTGCAAGTATGTTCACCGGCCGGGGCGAGCAGACTTTGCCCATGGCAGACCATCTCCTCAGTCTTGGGTGATCCTGCCCCGGTCTTGAAGCACCAAGCTTGCCGACTCCTCCTCAGTAAGCAGCAGGTCTCCCATCCTTGCAGTGAGGCTGGCCGCCTCTTCCGACTCCTTTCCTTCCGTCGGGGATTTCATCGAACCCCTGCTTGCTGATCCTGTTGCTGTCCTCGCCGTTTGCGTTGGAGTCTTTTGAGTTTTGGCTGCCGTGCCGTCACCGTCCCACACGCCTCACCAGTGTCACCACCCCTGAGAGGAACCTAAGCTAGCGGCGGAAGACGATCGCCCTGCAATCGCCTCTCCTGGAAAACCCCTAGTTGTGCAGGAACTGGATCCTCTATACACAAGGAATGTTAGAGAAGCTATAGTACCCTAACTTTCCTTCTATTAATCCATACAATTAAGATTAAGATAACTTAAATTATTTTTAAATTACAGATCTAGTATGTACATTCATAGTAATTACATACTCCCTCCGTTCCATAATGTAGCGCATATAGATTTTTTGAAAAGTCAAATTTTACAAACTTTGACCAAGTTTATAGAAAAAATTATAAATATTTATAATACCAAATATATACAATATGAAAGTACATCTTATGGTGCATCTAATGATATGTATTTGATATTCTAAATGCATATATTTTTCTCTACAAATTTGGTCAAATTTTGTAAGTTTGACTTTTCAGAAAATCTACGGAAACACTAACGCCCACACGTGTGGGTGTTCTTCAACTCGCCCACACGTCTGGATGGTCGTTGATTGTCTTTTGCACGAATCTTGACACGAAAAGGTAGATTTGGTGTGCCACGTAGGACAGGGCTGGTGTGTGGGCGTTGGATAGTTTGCCCACACGCCCCGCATCACGCTGTTGCCAGCTGCGCTGTGTGGGCGAACTAGTTTCTGCCCACACAGCCACCACCTAGTCCATGTGCGTGTGGGCGAATTGATTTTAGCCCACACGACACTCCTACGTTGTGGATGGCAACTGCAGTTACGCGAACGTGGCAACTAGGTAAACAAACATGGCAACTGTGATTCTTTTGCTAGACAGCAACTGCAGTTGCGCGTACGTGGCAACCCGATAAACACACATGGCAACTGCGATTAACTATACATGGCAACTATGGTTGGACCACACGTGGCAGCTAGGTAAACACACATGGTTGTTTGACCATATGTGGCAAGTAGTCAATCACACACGGCAACTGCGATTTGATTACACGCGGCAACTACCATAAATTAGACATGGTAACTATAGTTAATCAAAATATATATAGTTGCCATGCTTTTACAACTACACTTGCCATTCCGGATAACTACATCTGCCAACCAGGATGGCAACTAAATCATCATCCCGCGGGGTACCTAAGGTAGCTGCGCTAAGACGTGTGGGCATTTTTGCTTCGTGCCACACGTACGTGCGGGGTGGAGATGAGTAGTACTTGTTGGGCGTGTGGCACGAAGTAGCCGTGCCCGCATGTGTGGGCAATTTTAATGTCTGCCCACACACATTCCATGTGGGCTGCCTCCTGCTCACACCACACACGGTGTGTGGCCAGACCCTTTAATGCCCACTCATGTGGGCGTTATCGGCGTCCAAAATCTATATATGCTTACATTATGGAACGGAGGGAGTACAAACAAATTGATGGTGAGATAAAAATAATTTTGAATTTTTTATGTCTACAGTAATTACCAAAAGTAAATAACCTGCTAATAGTCTCTAACATTCATTCTTCATTTTACACTAGACCAGCACGATAGCATCATGACTTTCCTTCTCTAAGTTAGATGATCCGGCTCCGGTTGTGCACGCATGCATGCATGCACTTCCAGTTTGAGCGTGAATTGTAGGACCGTTTCCAAGAAAATTTCTGCCACCGCGCTTTTTCGTCCTTTTCGTTCCAATAAAGCTGATCGAGATGAGTGTGCGTGTATGTGGTGTGCACTGTGTCGTCCTTGTAAAGGTGGACGTTATAAAACTTGGATGAACAAAGAGTATATACAACCAAGACACATTTATCCAAATTCAAGCACGTATCGATTAAACTATCACACAACTTTAGACTTCTCATGAGATGTTTCTGACCTAATAAATCTTCTAATGATACCAATCTCCTAACATTTTTATACGAGTACTATATACTGTATCAAAACTGCATGTTTGCCGTATTCATCGATCACTGCTTGTCCTCGACGGCGACGGGGGGCTCCTCCTCCTTCGCCTCCTGCATGATGGTGACGCCGAAGATCCTCAGGCATCCCGCCGGCACCGCTGGCGCCTGCGGCGGCTGCACTGCCACCTCGGCAGCTGGTGCCTGTGGCGCCGGTCCGGGCAATGCGAGCCCGAGGTGATCCGGGGGAAGGAGGAGGCGCGCCCGCTTCCTCGGCACGATGGGCTTGCCTGTGCTTCCTCATGTGGCCCCCGAGTCGGACGCCGCTGCTGTACACGGCGCCACAGACCTTGCAGGTGTGCTGTCTCGCCGGCCTGGGCGCGCCCGCGGCGTGGTCAATCGGGTCGATCCCCGCGGCTATGGCTGCGGCGGCCGCTGCCGCGATCCGCCGGTTCTTGTGGCCGGCGACGTGGCCGCCCAGTCCCTGGTGCGTCGGGAACCACCGGTAGCACTCCTTGCACGAGAACCCACGCGGGGCGGCCGGGTCCTGGTGCGGGATCATGTGCAGCGGCCCGTGGAAGGCATGCAGCGGCGCCGCGGCCTGCGGTGGGGGGACGAAGGCATGCTGCTGTGCGGGGGCGGGCTGGTGGAGGTACACGACGGCTGGCTCTGGTGCTGGCGCGACCGGAGGGGGGACGGGGACTTGCTGGGGTGCAGGAGGCGTTGGGGCGATGTCGACTTGCTTGGGTGCAGCGGCCGGTGGTGCTCCCTCTGCCACCACGATGGCCATGGAAAGATCAGCAGCACTCTGACTGGGCTCCACGCCTGCGCTGCTGCCGCTGCCGCTGCCGGGGACAACCTGATGGCTGCTGGCCACCTCCACGGGCATGGGATCGTCCAAGATCTTGGGCTCCGCGACGACATTGGGCATGGACACGGACACGGAGTCGTCCACGACGCTGACAGCAGCAGACACCTTGTCCTCCTCCCTGGGCTGCGCCTGCGCGTGGACCCTCATGTGGCCATGCACGGCCTTGGAGCTGTGGAACTGCCTGTGGCAGACGGGGCAGGCCGGGAATAATGCGGTGGTGGCAGCAGCATCGCCCCCTGCGCGGTCGACGTCTCTGATGGTCCCGTCGGAGCGGAGCGAGGAGGTGGGCGAAGAGTCCAGGGTAGCCAATCTTGATCTTGAGACGGCGGTGCCGCCG